GTATTTATTGGTAGTGCAAATTTTGCATCTCAAAAACTGGAGTATAATTTGCACCACCCACCCTCTACCAATTGAGAGGTGATTCAATTGGTATGTTAGTTGGTTTGCTCCAGAGTAGATGTGGGTTCGATTCTCACAACCACCAACTTTTGGGAAGGTGTTATTAGTGGTATGTATCACCAAATACCAAAAAATAATAAATTAATTAATTAAAATTACACCACCCTCCTACATCAATTCTCTCTATTTCAAGTGGGGATTACATCATTTTGGTTCTTACCTCATTCCCAAACCAACAATCGTCCTCCTTTCTCCATTCTCCTTCATCTAAGCTGCAGATACATCATTTTACTTCTCACAAGCAAATAAGACAAAAATTAAATCCAAAAAAAAAGTAAGCCAGAATTTATACTCACCTATTTGCACTTCCATACATGTACATCATCAGTGCAAATGAAATTGCACCACAAACAGAGCCCGAAAGAAATTGAATTTATGCCAGATGTGAATGAACAGAATATATATATATATATATATTATATAATTTTATATGACATATAACAAGATATCTAGTGTTGGGCCAAGGTTGAACAAAGCCTAGCCCAAGCTCAACAGGGGGCTCATATTGTAGACCAATTTTTGTTTGTGTATGGTTTTTTTTATTTTTTTTTATTTTTTGATCAATAACACTTTCATTAATTCATCAGTAGAAAATTTATAAGTAGAAGACAAATACATTTATCTTCCAAGAGTCACAAAGAACCTCAAGAAAGGAAAGAAGAAAATATAAAGATACAAGGACACTAACATTACAACTTAGCCCAAAACAAGGAATCCCTTTCTGCCCCTTGTTTTGCTAAACCGTCAGCTAGGGAATTAGCTGATCTCTTAATCCAACATGTCTTAACTTCCATCTCCCGCACCAGCCATTTGAATTTCCTCTTCTCATTGTTATACTTCCAAAGATCATCTTGTTCTTTGGTCAGCCATTCTATCACCACTTCTGAATCCCCTTCAATTATAAGTTTCTTGATGTTCAATTCCTTAGCTTTCCGGGCTCTTTCTATAACTACACATATCTCAGCACTAAGGGAGTCACCCACTCCAATTGGGCCTGAGAACAAAGCAGAGATGACCCCATTTTCATTTCTAATTAATTAATGTGTATGGTTTTTTTTATTATTATTCTAATTAATGTTCCCTAAAAATTCAGATCAGGCCCGATAGCCAGATCAATAGGCTCAATGTTGCATTAGTATATTTTTAGGGTCCGTTTGGTTCGTAGTTGGAATCAGAATGGTCTATTCCTATAGTTTGTTTGGTTCAAACAGAAATGTAAATGAAAATTGGAATCACCGAATCAGCAGGAATAAGATTTCATTCCCAAGGGAGGGGCAGGGAATGGCATTCCCTCAAATGGGGGAATATTATTCAATGAGATTCCAATTCTGTCCAATCAAACAACTGGAATTGGAATAGCCCATTCCAATTCCAATTCCAAATCCCTATTCCTGCAAACCAAATGAGGCCTTAGATTATATTCACATTCAATCCAAAAAAACAACCACCATCTTTTAATGTCCAAGCATAACCACCTTTCTTTCAAAGAGGAAAAAACTCTGCTTAAATATCAAGACTGTTTGGTTAGGGTCATGATCTACCGGACTATTAAAAACAGCTGGGGAGCCTATTTTCATTGCAGAAAGACCAAAAGCTTCATTTGAAGCTTCCCGATTTTTGGCTTTTTCGATCTTTCTGCATGCTTATCTTGGAGACTTTCAGTCTATACAATACCAAATGAGAGAAGACCTTTCTTGGGCTTTTAAACTTCCCACAGACCAAAAAACGCGCCAAACACCACCCATATTCTCTTCAACAAGGGAAAAACAAAAACATCAAACACATTGACGTACTAATGCAAATTGGCACCAATGATCAAGTTGTCGAGGTGATTACTTGGCACCCCCTCCACATAAGAGGTGCAGGACCAAACCCATGGAACTGCGAGGTCTCCATGGTATGACCAATGGGCCTCACAAGCAAGTCTTTAAAAACCGGCTCAGAAGTAGAACCACTTTTCCCTCTGGTTTCAAATTAAACAGTTTTTCTACCATACTGTCAACTGTCAGATATGGTCAGATTCTAATTTCCAATGTAAAATAGATGCCCAAATTTTTTCAAAACTTTTAAATGGTTCCTCTCTTGCCTTTATTTTCTAGTAAGAGTTCCTCTCTCTCTCTCTGTGGTGAAACCATATTTTTCAAAACCAGACCGGACTGGGCGGTTGGACTGGAAAAACCAGAAACCGGTCAGATGACCAGTTCTGTTTTCCCCAAAAGCGGATTTTTGCCAAAAAGAGTTGATATGATCAGAAAACCACTGATCCGGGTGGTTGAATCGTTCAAACCGTACAACGGTTTTGACATTTTTTGTCAGAACGGGCCGATCATTCAGTTTGAACAGTCTGACCGTTCGACCCAGGAACCAGACCCCTGACCAGTTTTTATCACCTTGGGTGAAACCATGAAAGCAACAAATTGGTGAACGTAACCATCAAATCTATTTTTATCACCAAGAAAAAGAAAAGAAAATAAAGAAAAAGGGAAAGGGAAAGGGAAAGAAAAAAACCCAGTACAGAAAAGAAAACCCTAAGTTTGCATATTTGATTCATTGAATAGAACAAATGGGGATACATACATCTTTTTCTTTTATATAGCTTTCAAAATTTTTTCTTTTATACAACCCACAAACTGCTATTTGAATCCAATGGTTTAATGGTTCAACCATCCAGGTCAGTGGTTCTCTGACCAAATCAACGGTTTTTACAAAAAATAATGGACTACACCTTAAACAGAAGCCATAACCTGGCCGGTTTCTAGATCGAACAGTTTAATTATCATGGTTTATAAAACCTTGCTCACAAGCAGCCTGCTGCCCCACCACCAATTCCCTTGTAACGTGTAGTTTATAACACTAAAAATTAATAGACTACTTAAACCTCCCTTGAAACTTTACCAATCTCAATGAATTATTGGTAAAGGAGAATGATATTGGAGCGACTTTGTGCCTTTGATTCATGATGTGGAAAATACTGAAGTTGAAGATTTCAAACTTATTCATGTTTTATTAACTAGTGGTTTTTTGTCTTTTCAGGTTTCAATAATGTCCCCACTCAAATTAAACAATTTGTTGCTCAATCTAACTGCATTCTTTAACAATAGATAGATCATGTGCAATCTGTGGTGAGGTAGATGCGGATTATATTTTCAAAGACTACTTTTTTTGGGTATTGAATCTAAGACTGTACTTACGCCCAGCAAATTTGGAATGTTATTTGATCTAACATGGTCTGCCCGGGAGTAGAGGATAATTCGATGTGGGATTAGTGATAATGGGAATAAACTCTCAAGTCTTAACTGAAAAAAAGTATTATTGTCTTGTCAATCATTTGAAAGAATAGAATCTCTCCCCTCCCCCCATCTTATTAGAGAAAGCTCTCTATCTTTTTTTGGAAATTAGGAATCACTATTGGCACTGCTTTAAATAATAGGGGTGATTCCATTGTTCATGTTCGATGAAATTACCCCAATGGGGAGCCATTAAGATAAATTTCGGCCCTACTTGTGATCCTAATGGTTTATATTCTATCTCATGTATTGCCAGGAATCACCATGGGGAGGTCCTGTATGTAAAGACATATTGGAATCACACTACTATCAACCTTGCTGAAGCGTGGACTGCTTGGGAGGCTCACAACCTTACTCTCAATTATAGAAGTCAGCCTGTTATCATCAAGAGAGATTCAAAACTGGTCATCAACTGTCTTAGGAATCAAGTTTTGCCACCATAGAGATTGAAGAATGTGGTTGATAAATGTCTGCACATTGGTGAGCTGCTGGAATATGGAATCTGCAATCATCGTGTTTTCACAAAGCCAACCAAGAAGATGATTGGTTAAGAGCTGCCTAAAGGGGAAATATTTCATTTTTGTTGGAGCTTCCTAAAGAGCTGTTTGTAGTTTGCTTTTTTAATTATTGGGTATGTACTACTCCCTACTTTATCAAAAAAGTAATTCTAATTACAGCTGTGGAAGGAATTCGAAGAGCAAGGGATCTAAATATCAGTCGTTTAATCCTGAGAGGTGATTCAAAGGTGGTGATTAGTTGATTGAAAAAAGAGGACAATGGTTTGTGAAACTATAACAATGAAAAGAAAATATTCTTATGGCTGTATGGAGAAATTGAAATACAATACAGCTAGGTGAAGAAGACCGCTTGTTCATTTGCAGATGAATTGGCCAAACAAGGGGTGAATAGGGAGTCTATCTTTTGGGCTAATTTTTAGTTTTCTTTCATTGTGTTTTGTTAATGAGGAGCTAAGACATTTTATCTCCCCCTTATTGTATCTAAAGCTTCACAAATCTTCACTTAATTAAGTTTCTGTTATTGATCAAAATAATAATAATAATAATAAATCTAACTGGATTCTTGGTTATGGATTTGGAAGAACTCCAACGGATTTTTATAACTTCCTCACCTTTAGATCTTGTAAGACCTAAGCAAGGTTCAAAATTTTGTTACAGCCGATACGTATCATATATTGGGTCACCAATACACAAAAATATAAGGAGTTTCGGGGTAGGACCTGTTTCGGGGGGTAACCAAGCCTTTAACCGACCCCCTGAACATATTTTGAAAAAATAAAAAAACTAAAAAACAATACAAGTGTTGATACAAAGCCTGATACACCCAGTTCTGATTGTACCGAAACTTTGAGCCTTGGACCTAAGCACCCTCTGATTTGCAAGTAGCCTAGCACAAATCAGTGGAATTTGGGCCTTCCTCGTATCATTTTTTTTGTGGAAATTTAGGTATGGTACTTTTCTCTGCAGCAATAATGGCCACCAGCGAAGTGGGGAATTATTTAAGTTCCCTTTTTAACATTACTATCTATCCCACTCAACATATCATTGGTTGTGTGTTGCATTTGTGGAGCTCAAATGATGGTGACGCGCAACTTTAGAGTTATTAATCTTTCAGATACATGAAGGTAAAAGGTGCAACAACTCGCTATCTTCTCAAAATCATTACCAAGTAGTTGGAGGAATGTGATAGCCTGAAGTCACAATTGGAATATCAAACTATCAATGAGCTTTAAGTGGAGAGTAATAACTCCCTATCATTGGAGCGAAACCTATGTGATGAGGAATCTGATTGAATTTCCCGAGTTCAACTTCAGTAATCGCCTTACTCGACATCAAGAAATCTGATTGAATTTCCCAAGTACATCCAACCCTGCTCTGACGCAAAAAGTATAGCTGACAAAATAACATGTAGCTCCATATGCAGAATTCCTTGCTTTATTTGCTTGGGTTCACCTGCAACAGCAAGAAAAATCTCCTGAATTAGTAAATATTACAAAACCAAGTAAACCCATCTAGGCTCCCAAGTACTATACTCCTAATTACAAAACCAAGTAAATATTACAAAGCTCCCAAGTACTATACTCCTAAGTTTATCCTTGAGCAACTAGCTGCGCTTTGTATTGATCAATGCTCCCATCAAACTTGAGTTTAACCAAGTAAACCCATCTAGGCATCTACTACCAATGGGGACAAAGTATTCTCGGCACTGATCAATGCATTAGTAACATGCTCCCATTAGGTCATTGCATTGACAATTTGATTTGGTCCAAAATAAGATTATACGAGGAACTAGGTGAGGAACAAGTCATGTGATTAGAGGCTCCAGAGTCAATAATCCAAAGATGACTTGCAGAAGAGGTAAAATGACAACACTTACCAGAAAGCCCAATAACTGAAAAATGCATAGGAAATAACTAAAGGTAACCATAGACTGAATCCATTGTTGACCATATAATGTTGCCACCATTTATATTAGCCTCAACCAAATTAAAACAAGTTAATGAAAGCTAGAAAGCTCTGGGGAGAGCAAGAGGATTGAGAAACATTATTATTAACTACAAGCAGTATTAGTATCAACAGAAGCATATTCTAAAACATAATTAATACTACATGTCCCACAAACAAGGCAGAGATGTGATATTCCAAGAAAGTATTATAAAAATAACACCAAAATTCACTCCTACAACATCTTCTAGGTTCACCATACAAGAAACAAAGAAGCCACGAAGTGTAAGGAAGATCATAGTGTATGAAACAGGTTGATCTAACCATTCCTCCGATGCTTAGTTACTAGTATGTTTTTTCTTTTCTTTTTTTTTTTTGTAGATAGATAATGCTTACTAGTATGTTATGAGGCTGCATTAAGACGGAAGGTTAATTTGAAAAAGAGAATTTTTCTGGTTGGCAAGGTACCTCACATTAATGACCTGGGCAACACACTTGGGTGCCAAGTAGAAACATTCCATACAAACTACCTCAACCTTCCACTTGGTGCAAATTACAAGTGTGGCTATCTGGAACCCCATGAGATGTTGATGCACAAATTGTCTGGATGGAATAGGTAATACCCCTCAAAAATGGGTAAGATTATCTTAATTCTAAGTGTTCTCTCCAACCTCCCCAATTATTATTTGTCTAATCTTCTCTATAGCATCAGCAGCTATTAGAAGAGATTTTATGGGAAGGGTATAATTAGGAGAGAAAATTCCACTTGGTGGCATGGAACACAATTTGCAACCCAAGGAGAAAGGAGGGATTGGGTTAAGACAATTAGCAGCCATGAACAGGACTCTTCTTTGCAAGTGGCTTTGTAGATTTGGAGTAAAAAACAACTTTGGAGGCAAGTAATTGGGTCAAAGTGGTAGAACATAGATGCCCAGATGGCTTGGAAGTCATTGATGCCATCTCAATCTTATGGATCCAATATCTGGAAGGGGATTATGAAGCTTAAGGGGGGGAATTTGTGAGGTATGTTAGATTGAAGCCAGGAGATGGTGAGAATATTTTCTATCTGGAAGGGGATTATGAAGCTTAAGCCTCTATGTCATACTTTTCCTGCCCTTGTCAATTGTCATATTATTCTTGATAGGAGATCTCTGTAAAGGATTGTGTTGAATGGAATGGGTCTCATCATGCATGGAGCACCATGCTTACACACAAACTTCAAGACTGGGAGGTGGATTTATTCACAGAACTGCTGGGCAGATTGAATGTTGTACATTTAGATCTTTAGTTGAGGGATTGCAAGGTATTGTTGAGGGATTCCTCATGATTATTTTCTACCAAGTCCTGCTACGAGGCTCTCTTGTGTGATTATCAGAAGGTTCCTTGGTGTTGGATTTGGAAGGTTCAGGTACCATACAAAGTCAATTTTTTTTTGTATGGCTAGCTAACAGCTTCAGATAGAGTTCAGACCATCGATCATCTGATTAATAAAGGGATGAACCTTAACATTATAGGGGTCTTCATGGGTCAGTTCCATTCGGTTGCAGGCTGTTTGTCCAACTGAACCGACCTGGTCAGGTTGGGGAATTGGCCACCCAAAACCAACCAATCATTAGTGAAAACCAGCCAACTCGGGTCATATCAGTTTGGGTTGGTTTGTCGGCTTGGTCAGTTGGTTCAAAGACAGCATTTCAATACAGTACTTACACACACACAACCATCTTTTTTCTGACGGCATCTCACCCTCCTTTTTAGCATTTCAATAAGTACTTGTACACACAACCATCTTCCCAAAAAAGCATTAAATCATCCATATGACATTCAAGGGACACAGTAAAGAAATTAGGATAACTAAGAGAAATACCACGACACCCAGCATTCTGAAAAGGAATTAGCCTTAGACAAGAAAAGAAACTCAAAAGCATTACCAAAGACTAGATTCCTAACCCCAGTATTTCTCAATGTCTCCTTATCAACCATTGGCATCCCCTGAGAATTAGAACAAATTTCCTAAGAAGATCAAATATCTTTTTGGTTTGTACCAAAAGAAAGAACAAGTTGAATTGAAGATGCCAGTTGACCACAAGACAACCACCCAATTCAAACAAACCGAATGAGCCCCCAAAATGCCTCAACCCAAACTTTCCTCAAATTGACCCATTGAAGATCTATCCAGACCCAAACCCTAATGCATATTACTAGAATCAGAATAAGTGCCATCACCAACTAATGACCCTCTTTGCCCAATGTAATAGCTAATTATCATAACCTGAGTCCCTGACATATGGTTCGCTGAATTTCTAGAAAACATGTTTGACTGATGAACATCCTATTAGAACAAGAGGCTTTCACCAACCTACTCCCAAAGACCCTTTACTAACCATCCTCTTTTTGGCAAAGATTCATAGAACTGGAAGCCACTGAATTTCTCCTATTTCTATGATTCTCAAGAACAAACCCAATCATCATATAAAGGATTCTCTACTTTCAACCATAGTCATTGGACTAGTCTGAAAAAACACATCCAGTTCTAAAGATAATTGAAACTGCCCAGAAACACCTTCTATAATGATCAGTGTTTAGAAAACTGGACCAACTGATTTAATCGGAAAACAGGTGAACCAGTCCTAGTTTCATGAAACCGCCCAGGTCATTAACTAATAGAAATTTTAAAATGTGCTTAGCAAGATTTGAACCCACGACCTTTTATTTTCATATATTGCTTAATTACCATTGGTCCACCTCTTAACTTATGTTAATTAATAATTCTTTAGTGTACAAATTACCTTATTATGTGTGTATTTTAAAGAAAATGTAAATTAAGAGACTTGAACCCTAATCATTTGCTTTAAAAATTAAAGAACTTGCCATCAATGCACCATATTTAAGTATAAAAGTTGTAAAATATATTATATATAATAGGGTAAATCTCTTAAACTACCCCTACTGTTTAGCGTAATGACACACGGTACCCCTACTGCTTAGCTATTGTCTTGCGGTACCCTTAAGTTTTTTGACAATTGTCATTGCCGTTAAGTGCTAACGGAAGGAAACGAAATGTCAAATTTGCCCTCTTCTTCATCTTCAATGGAGCAAGGTCTCGGCGGAAATTGAGACTCTTCTTCCTCTTCAATGGTGCGAAATATCAAGGAATGGGAAAACAATTCTTCCCCAGAGGCTTTCACCGGTGATGCCTTCTTTCCCAAAGGCTTCTAGTTTCACCGTCAGGCGAGGCAATCGAAGGCTAGCAAGGCTAGCAAGTCTGTTTCATTTCCACCGAGACCGATACCGGTACTAGCAACGGCAACGGCAATAGCAACGGTGGCTGTGGTAACATCTATGGGACGCAATACCGTATCATGCACAGACATGAGAGAAGAACAACTGCACAAACTGTAAATGACGAATGCATCACCAAAACGAGGAGGAGTTGTGTCACCACGCTGTCACCAATTTGCATGTGTTTGGAAAGCTGGAAACTACTGGTGGCGAAGCGGAGATTTTCCTTTTTTCCAGAACAAAGAATAATAACAAGAGTCAAACAAGGAATTTTTCGTTTTGGACTTTTGGGTGTTAAAATGGACCCAAACCCTTAACACTTTTAACTGATTACAATCTACAAGCAACAAGCAATGAGGTGTCATAAATAAATTACTAGTCTAGTCAGATCAGGCTCAGGGGCTTCGGATCAGCACACGGAAATGAATGTTATTTCTTGGAGCATTTCCGCTTAAATAAGCAACCGTTGGATACTACCTAAAAGGGAATGAATGACCGTTGCGTTGAGACATATGTTGTTGGAATCCATGAATGTAACGTAAAGGATCAATGGCAGGCATGAAGCTCTCACCTGATGGTAGCAGAGACTTGCAGTAAGTATTTTTTCCCAGTGAGGCAATTTGTCAAACAAGAGAAGTGTAGAGCAGGTACTAATTAAAGGGGAAAGAGTTTGGCAGACTCAACCCTACACACGCAAATGCAATCATCAAACAATGCAATTGTCGTATTGGCTGCTCTGTTCATTTCTACCTCCATTTCCATGGCTCCTCTGTTCTTGCTCCTCTATTCTTGCTCCTCTGCATTGTCTTCACCACAAAGTGGAGCTTCTGGGTTTGAAAGGTTAGGGTTTTGATGAACCAGCATCATTTTCCATTTTCTCTGTTTTATTTTGAAAAATTGAAGAAAAAGTCGCTGGCGAAAGTGGTCGGATACAGACGACGACAGTGGTGGCGGTGGCGGCGGAGAAACAGGGAGTGGAACGATTGCAGAGTGGTTCACTGTAGTTGCCGTTGGGGAGAGGGATGGTGAAGAAGAACAGAGAGGGACGAAGGGCAAAATTGGGTTTTTAAAAAATTTATACATCACGTGTATATGAATTTCGACGGAACATTAACGGATATTAACGAAAGGGGTAGAGCTAGTCAATTGTCAAAAAACTTAAGGGTACCACAAGACAATAGCTAAACAGTAGGGGTACCACGTGTCATTACGCTAAACAGTAGGGGTAGTTTAAGAAATTTACCCTATATAATATTTATATGACCTCTAGTATATATATGTATATGCCAAGTCATCACAGTTTGACCCCAGTTGAACCCCTCACCCGTGAACCTCTCCCCTCTCCAGTTCTATGTCCAGTCCGGTTCTCTGAACATTGATAATGAGGTTCAATGCACCCACATTGTAAAAAATGTTTGAAAGGTTTTAATACCAGTAAATAGCCCAAACAAGGGGACAGATGGCCTTGTTTTTAAAGGCCTATCTATGGAGATTTGAACCTTTAGTCTAAGATAATAATGGTGGGACTAAGATTTTTTTGAATGCCAATACTAGAACCCAACCTTTTGCCAACCTCCAATCTCACATGCTCCAAGGGCAAGTTATGGCCTTACACCAAAACCTCAGCTTCCTTAATGACCCAATCCAAATAAGACTTAACCCACAGTCCACTCTCTAAACATAAGCCATTGTTGTTGAATGCTGACCATGGTCCATTATTTCCAACTCTTTCAAAGTCATCAAGATACCAGAACCTAAACCTGTAATACCCTTTCTGAAGAGGAAAAACAAGCAAATAGGAATCATCCATCCCCCATGTAGCCCTAATCCAGTTAATAAAATCAGTAATTGCAATGGCAATTTCAAGGAACATCCTTCTAACACAGAACCTAAACCTGTAATAACCTTTCTGAATAGGAAAAACAAGCAAATAGGAATCATCCATCCCCCATGTAGTCCTAATCCGATTAATAAAATCAGTAATTGCAATGGCGATTTTAGGGAACACTCTTCTAACACAGACTCCTAACTTCCTTGAGTTCCTCAGAAAGCTTTCAGTCAATCAAACGTATCAACTTCATATTCCTCTTCTGTCGTTCATCATGTTAGAAAATTCTTTTTGAAGATTTTTTATATTAACCATCTAACACAAACAAACAGAAACAAACAAAGCAAACAGAGAGTCAGTAGAAGCAATACAATCACAACAAAGGAAATCCAAGATACGAGAAAACAAACACATGGCACAACTACAAACCAAAACACCAAGGAAAATAAAACTTAACAAGACACCTAAAACACAAAAAGCTACATCCTATCACATGTCTAGAAACAAGCTCCGCTCTACCATCTAGTAATGTCCAATACAAGGACACAAAAGAAGTAAAACCATCACTTCCCTGCAAGGACACTTCTCCTCCCTCAGTCATCTTCTGATCAGTGCACCGATCAGTAGGGCCCAGGTGAGTTCTACCAATAGGACCGGCCTGTTAATCCAGTATCTATGCAGCTCAAATCACCATGTTAAATTTTTACCAAAAAAGCCATCATGTTAAATATGTAACATATATCCAAAGCTGATTCTAGAGGGCCTTGGGAAACAATTTAAAACACAGTTCACTTCTTTTGTAGTTAATTCTACATTTTCCTTCAACCACAAAATGATTTAATCCATATTTCTAATTCCTTTGGGATGCTGAGTCATTAGGTATATGAAGTTGTTAGAACTGAAGCTCAACATGACATTAACACATGCCCACCCAACCCCCATACAACATCCTAATAATAAACACAGAGAATTAGCAACAAGTAAACAAAACACATTGGACATTGCTACATCCAGATTATTTTCCCTTCTCATTCTTTTCCTAGAAAATAACTCTAGAAATGTTTCCTGTCATGCCTATAAGCAGGGCAGCTGATTCTAGAAAAGAACCCCACCTTAACAAAGCAAGAGAATAACCATCAAATAAAAGCCGTCCGGCCCCCCCTCCGACTATGCCTGTCATATGCTGTGTTAAATTTGTCAACCAACTCATTCATGGTGCTGCAAAATCATAAAAGAAATTACAGTTATATAAATACATGGTCATTGTCCATTAACTATTTAAAAGAAAAGAACTTTATTTTTCCTTTGAAGCGAAAGGAATAAAGTCTATATATTGTACCTTGAACAGTTGGTTAACATGGCCAGATAGGTGATTAGTAGAGTGTCATTGTATTCCTGCAAAGGTGATAGGAGTGAGAATTTGGTTTAACCGAATTAACCAAAATTCTAAAGGGAAACCAAACCGAAACTGAACTAAGGAAATACAAAAATAACTGAACCAAATGTCTTACGGCTATTTCAGTTAAAACTGTTTTCAACCAAAATATGCTCGTCCTTAGAAGTTGACAATTAGAAACCCATCTCATTACTTTGATTTTTGACAATTAAGAGTCCAAAGTTGCCAAAAAAAAGTTTGAATGAAACTCATGACTTGTTGCTGATTGTAGGAATAGAGAAACTGACCATCTGAAAATCATCTTGAAATTTCCCAGATTCAATTGCTGGTAATCTTCTCAAAAGGCTAGAAACTTGCCTCAACAACGAGTCCTCCATGGGAATATCACCTGCCATCTCAACAAACTCATACAGGAATCCACCTACAGCGGAGGCTATGATAATCAGCATCTAAATATTGATATTTAAGTCAAATAAGAGTACCTCTTTGCATGGAGAGAAGATAATTATGAAGAACCCTAATTCTGCTATTCAACATCTTGATGGCACTATGAATGCCAGTGAGATGTGCAGCCACTGCACCCAAAGAAACATGAAATTCAGACATTCACACAGGATTTTGCTTCATGAATAGAAAACCACAAACAACAATATGGGAAATGTGAAGACATTGAAACCAGAAATCTCACACTGAGTTGCAGCTGATCCTCCATCAGATGGTTTAAGATGCGCAACATGATCAACTGAGATTCTTTCTGCCTCTACAGTCTTAGAATGAAGGAAATGATTCAGCAATACTAGGTTGCAACGCAAGTATGACCAGTAACATAGACTAGAAAAAATAGAAGGGCTTACCTCAATAGTGTAGCTTGAACGAACAAAAATTAGCTGAGGAATCCCATCTATTACATGCAACTCTTCAGTTGTAGCAATATAAAGATCATTTGTCAGTATCAGTTCAAAATAAAGCACCATGGATGGTACCTTTTTCCACTATAATGATGATGATGATGACAACAAGGGAGTGGGTCTGTTAGTAGAATTGTTTAGTAAATGCTCAACAACCAAGGAATTTTCTACATGGCAACTTGGTTTAGGGCTTAAAGTGGCCCCACAGGGTCCCCTCACAATTATTCTGTTAGTGGAATAAATTCAAACCCAGAAACCCTTGCCACCAGACTAAAGTAAGTGTCAAATAATCCATTGGGTTAAAATCAACAAAAATCTATCGAATAAAGTGCCCAACAATTATCCCCTAGCAATTGTCCTACGAAGTTAATTTGAATACATAGGGGAAATGTGCCAACAAACACAGTAGATTTTAGTCACAAGTAATTTACATATATGACCTTGAAGTGAAGAAAAAAGTTTGCATAAATTTCCAGGTTTATGTTTGTAACTTCTCCATAAAATTGATAGTTGCCCAAGTTGACTTGAAAATAACATGCAATACAAAATTTCACATCTCACAAGCTGTTTGTAATAATAAGAAAAAAAAGAATAGTTTCAACAAATAAGAACTTGTTCAACATGAGAATCACAAAACAGCACTTCATACAGGCCTGTATTGAATAGGCATTTTTAATCAGTTTTATAGGATAGACAATAGAAAAATCAGGCAAGTCTACATACCACTTTCATAGATGGTCACAGGGAGATCCTTTTGTGAATGATTGATAGCAGGATTGAGAATAACATAAACTGGGCTCTCATTAATATCCATCAACTGTAACAAAGAGAACATCATTAAATAAACTCCATTCCTTACAACATATTAACAAGTAACTGCCATTATGGCTCAAACTCATTAAGTATATCATTTCACTTGGGTTACGATCTTTTTCTAATAAGCAGGTAAAAGCACTTATGGATTGTGTTGTAATAATTGCGGCAGTAGTTTTTGTGATGGAGGCTGTGGCAACCATGGTAATAACAAGAACTATAGGATTATATGGCAGACAGGATAGTGGCGGTGGTGGGAATGACTAATTACAGCAAATGCAGAAGCTGATACACAAACCTGGACTAGAGTTCTAACATTGGAGGGTGGAAGGACATTTTGTATTTTTTGTATTTGTGTGTGCACACAGAGGAAGGATTAGAATAGAAACTCTACCTAAAAGATGAAATTTCCGATCATGGATGTTAAAGGCATGAGCCCAAGGGAACTTTGGTCTCATCACTTGTTATTATGTCATATAAGTCACTTAAGTTCTGCCCACTTCAATAAAAGCAGAACCTTGAGCTGAAATAACACATACCCCATTCAAAACCAACCTAAAGCAAAGCCCAATAATAAGCCAAATATCCCCAAAATGAGGATCACTGACATGACAAACTAGGGGTGTAAGCAAGTCAAGCCTGCTCACAAGATACTCAAGCTCAGATCAGTGAATACCCAAACTTGGCTCACTAACAGTCAAGTTCAAGTTGAGTAATGAAGGGATAAATTCTGCAAAAGCAAAAGAGGACAAAAGAAGGTTGGAGGGAATGAGTCAGGAAGGAATGACGAAAAAAACTGATAGAGGAGAGTTGAGTAATGAAGATTCTGTGGCATCTTTTGTGGGGAAGCTTGGCTGTAAACTGAAAGATCTGAATGAACTCAAAGTGTTTCTACAGAAAAAGAGAGAGGAAGTAAAGGTTAAAAAGAGAAAGATGAGCAAGGATGAAAGATTAATGAGGGATGTGGAAGGAGATAAAAGTTTTCATTTCAAAGGGGAAAGGAGGAATGGAAGTAAGTGAGATTAGTAGAGGTCAGGGGTGAACAATTTGAAGACAATGAAAATTTTTAGTTGGAATGTTAGAGGTTTGGGAAGTGCTAGAAAGAGAGCAGTCATTAAAGAGGCAATCAAGAAGATAAATCCGGATGTGGTAATTTTGCAAGAGACAAAGAGGGCAGACTTTGATAGTAGGTGGGCAAGGAGTGTTTGGATAGGGGGGTCAGCTAGGCTGCACCCCCCCCCCCCCCTCTTCTCTTGGGGGCAGCAGGGGGTATTGTTACATTGTGGAAAATTGATATCCTCACAGATTCGGAGGAATTGATAGGACAATTTACAGTTTCAGTGAAGTTTAAGCAGGTGGAGGATGGTTTTGAGTGGGAGTTAAGTGTTAACAAATGTGTATGTGCCAAATGACTACAGAGAGAAGGGGAAATTGTGGGAAGATTGGAAAAACTGGGTGACCACAAGCATGAGGAACTTTAACCAATATGTGGATGCTTTTAAGCTTAAAGAGATCCTTTTGTCACATTGCAGATTTACTTGGTCCAATCTCCAAGCAAACCCCATTTGCTCTAAGCTGGACAGATTCCTTTTCTCAAATGATTGGGAAGAACACTGGGAGAACTTGACTTTTATTGCCCTTCCAAGGGTTACCTCTAGCCATTGGCCTATTGTGATCTGTAAGGAAGAGTTGGGAAATGCAAGGGTGGCTCCTTTTAGGTATGAAAATATGTGGTTAAGCCACTCAGGATTTATTAGGAAAGTCAAAGGTTGGTGGCTAGAGAGAAATCTTGAAGTTGAGTGGAGTGGTATAAGGTTCCATAGAAAGCTCCAATTTCTAAAAAATAGAATTAAAGATTGGAATATTCTAGAGTTTGGGAGGTTGGAGGAAAGGAAGCAACAACACGAATTGAAGATCTGGATTTGAAGGAAGAGAGGGGAAGCCTTACAGAAGAGAAGGAACTTAGATGGAGGCTACGGAAAAAAAAAATTAGAGGATTGTTTGCTCAAGGAGGAAATAAGTTGGAAGCAAAAATCAAACGTAAGTGGCTGAAAGAGGGGGATAGGAATACTAAATTTTTTCATGGAGTGGCAAATGGAAGGAGGAAAATTTTCATCTCTAGCCTAGAAGTTGAAGGGGTTACATTATCCAATCACAATGAGAGTGTTGGAGCCTTTGCAGAACACTTTAGATCAATCTTCAAAAGACCCTTAAATAACAGAGTTTGGGTTGAGGGGTTAGATTGGCCTTCCTTGAGTGTAGAAGATAGGGTTTGGTTGGAGAGGATGTTTGAATTGGAAGAGGTGAAGGAGGTTGTCTTTTCTATTGATAGATCAAAGGCTCCAAGCCCAAACGTTTTAACAAGATTGCTGGGAGATACTGAAAGAAGACCTTCTGTTGGTGTTTGAGGAATTTTTTAACAAAGGAGTGATTAACCCAGGCTGAACTCCACCTTTATAGCCTTGGTTCCCAAGAAAAAAGAAGCAAACCACCCGAGGGACTATAGACCAATAAGCTTAGTAAATAGCTTATACAAGATCATAGCAAAGGTGTTGTCCCTTAGGATCAAGAAGGTGCTCCCTACCATTATAGAAAATAATCAATGAGCTTTTGTAAGCGGAAGGCAAATAACAGATCAAATTCTTATAGCCAATGAGAGTGTTGAGGACTTTAAGAGATCAAAGAAAAAGGGGTGGTTTGTAAATTGGACCTAGAAAAGGCTTATGATCTAGTAGGCTAGTCCTTCTTGTTGGAGATGATGATTAATTTTGGGTTTGGAGATAGATAGTGCAGGTGGGTGATGGACAACATTCTTGTTTTTTATTACTTTTGATTTTTTAGCCCATTGTGTATACTGAACATAATCTTTTTGTACAAAGGGTGCACTGTATACTCTAATATTTAATTAATGAAATAGTCATCTTGCCTTTTTCATGTTTAGCATTTCATTAATCAGATACTTGTGGACAAGATTTTAGGAGAAATTTAAGTAAATCATCTTTTAGGTTTTTTACATTGTTTTGTGAATCCTGCAGTATATACCTTTTTATAAATGATAATTTGATTAGAATTTTCTCTTTAAAGTGGCATATTTATTAGGCTAAATATGATCATATAAATTATTACAAACCTACTTATGAATTGGTTCAAATTGAACCACTTCACCAATCCAAGTGGCAAGCAATTTAGGTCACCATGGAATTTAAGGTTCAAACTAGTAATAACTCAAGTATATTTTTTTTGATGAATGAATAACTGAAGTATATTGTAACATGATGTTATATCTATCAACTAGTACCACACCCCACATAAGATCAGATTGCCTCAAGCTTAGCTCATTGTAAACATAAACAATAAGCATTGCAAACCTTTCCCAGCGATGCCATGAAATCAAGTAGCATCGTATGCCACACATCCTAATGCAACATTTTGGAATTTAGATTTAAAGTCTTCCATAGAGAATTTCCGCCTGAAGTATGTCTCTTTTCCTTTCTATAATACTATTATTCATGCCACTTGCTTATCCGGATCTAAAATATATATAATAGAGTTATTGAAAGGAAAAGGAAAAAAAAAAGGATAAATCCACACCATAATTGTAGTTGAAGAAGATTTGAAACTTACAGCTTTGTGGATATGCATATCCGACTCCTGTACATCACTTCCCGTCGAATACCAACCAAGAATATAGAAATTCGGAAATACCTTCTTATCTGGTACATTCACATAACAGTAAATTTAATTTTGAAATGTCAGCAAACCCTATTTATCAAAAAAAAAATGTCAGCAAACCCTAGATTATGAATCACCCAACATTAAACCCAAAGCCCTATACGCTTAACAACAATTAAGAAACCCCACTAAATTTTGCTAAAAACAAGAAAACCTACGAAATTCCAAATCAAACTAGGCCCACGAAAATCAGCATTTACTCAGTAATAAAAAAGAAAGGAAATAACCCAAATTCTCATAATTAATAAAAGCCACAAAAAACGATGAAGAACAAAAAAGAAAACCCACAGAAGAGAAGATGACAAAAACGCTAAAAATTTTGGATTTCATACAGTGGAATGACAAAAAGTTGCCCAATTCTCAAAATAAAGAAAACCCACAAACAATATCAAATAAACCCTAGACAGATCACTTTCCTTTCAATGGAATAACGAGAGACAGGGAGTTCGATGTGTATCTAATATCGAATGAATACTTACAGAGCTCTTGCTTCTTCTCGAGAAAGGATCGGTCGAGGGACTCGGTGGAAGGATCGTAAAGGAGCTCGAAACTGTTAAATATCTCCACCGTTCGACCTCGCTGGATTCCAATCACACAGCCGAAGACCCTTGGCGGTTGAGGAGGCGGGGATGAGCCTCCATTGCTGCTACCGTGAGGGGGCTGTGCCTGGGACTTCACTCGCGTATAGTGATCTGATATGTTCACGATCACCAGCGGGTGCAGCTTGAAGGTCAACCCGCTGCTCGACGACGACGCCATACCTTTACCTTACTTACAACCCTCCGGCTCCGGTACCTCCTTCTGCACCTATGCACTCATACACCCATGAATTCATGAAGGGAGTGTGTTCGGAAGTTGGAACCGTGGTTTTGCGTACTTTTCAGGAATTTTCTTAAATTTACCCTTACTTTTTTTAAACCCGTATAGATAGGTCCAGGTCCCCCGTGGCAACGGAGCGGGGCACCCCTAACCCGTCCCCTATATCGGGGCAAGGAATCAACCCCATCCCCAGCCCCGTCGGGTATTCGGGTATGGGAAATCCCCGACATATTCCCAGCCCGAAGTCTTTTTAATACTATTAAGGTCATGTTTGGTTCGTAGGAATAAGAGTGTGGAATCGGAATTGGAATGCAGTGGAATCGGAATCCCATTCTCATTCCTGCTGAATGGCATTCCCCTATTTGAGGAATGGCCATTCCCTGCCCCTCTCTTGGGAATGAAATCCCATTCCTGCTGATTTTAATTATCATTCTCATTTCTATCTGAACTAAAAAGACTATGGGAATGGACCATTCCGATTTCAATTCCGAAGGATTTGAATTCCGATTCTAATTCCAAAGGATTTGAATTCTGATTCTAATTCCAATTCCAATTACAAATCAAACGGACCCTAAATTCCAGATTCTGTATGTTTTCTAATTCAGTAAACATATCACTTTGCCCATGAAAAGAAACCGGTCATTAACAAATAATGTTCAAAATTTTTAAATAAGAACAGGAATCCCCAAAAAATGTTGTCAAAAAAAGAGGAAATTAAGTTGAGGTTGGTTGTTTCAACAAAAGCCTCTTCACAAGTGGAATAAAACCAGGAAAAAAGTCAGCAATAATTAATCAGATAAAATTAGCAATAAAAGACCAATAAATCATAATAAAAATAGACATAAATATGCTGGCTCAAGTGCTTAACCTATCAACAAATCTAATTCTCTTCAAAGTTGTCATTCAGCCCAAATTATTAACAAATCTCTTTGCAAGTATATATTTATCACATAATAAATTAATAATGCATCTTGATAGTGAAGAAAGAGCTTCACTACACACTACAAATATGAATGCATTTCTAAAATTACATGTAAAATATGAATGCATTTCAAAAATTACTTATAAAATATGAATGCATCATACCATGAATGCATTTCTAAATTTACATGTAAAATATAAATGCATCACACTATGAATGCATTTCTGAAATTACATGTAAAATATGAATGCATCACACTATATCATTTAGGACTCGTTGCTAACCTATTCAAAGGAATAATACCAGATTGGAGAATATGCATTGATAGCTTTAATTGCTTTGCAAAGAGAGAAAGAGAGAGAGTAAATAATCAAACATTTCAATTTGCAAAAAAATAAAAATAAAAACATTATATATATATATATCAAAAATAAACCCTCCATTTGAAGGAATTTTATATCTCAAACAAGTATTATTAAATAAGTTTGCATCTCAAGTCTCAACAACTCAAAAAATAAACCTTCCATCTCAATTAGACAACCTTCTACTTCAATCCAACAGCCCCACTTTCCTAAAACAATTAAAATGCAAGAGTATGCATATGGAAACTAAGTTAAAAATTATTTTGAGTTACATAAAATTCAATAATAAACATTTTAAATCATATACCCCATCATCTATATCATAATCATCACTATTGATGGTTTCGTAAGTGTGTAAGGATCATCACTAAGAGGAGCATCTACATAAAAGAAAAAAGTTAATTACAAAGGTAAAATTATGACATTCAATTTTTTTGATAGATAAATATGCAATTTAAATAGCATTACATTGAATTTTATACGCCAACTAATTTTGAGCATACATCAATGCCTCCAATATCTTAGCATGAAGTCTACTACGATGTGGACTTACTAGACTTCCCCCAATGCTGAAGGTAGACTCTGAAGCAACTGTGGAAATAGGAATATCTAGCATATCTTTAGCAATTGCTTGTAAGGTGGGATACTTGAGTCCATTTGACTTCCACCAAGCTAAAATATCAAAGTTCTGAGTTTTAAGCATCACATTTTCTTTTAAATAATAGTCCAACTCTAACTTCAAAATCACATTACTTGAACTCATATTAACAAACAAGTCGTAATTAGAAAGTGGATTTTGTTCTTCAATATCAACATTTTCAGATGTGCAAGTTGGATTAACTAAAGTTTCACTACCATGTCCAACTTTCTTATTCTTGGATTTGGATTGATGCTCGTGAAGTAAATCATAACACAGTTGACGAATCCTCTCAATCTCATCCAATGGACAATTCCATATATCATAGGAAAATAATACTCCATCAACTTCATCTTGTATCTTGGATCCAACACTGTTGCCACTCTCAAAATGTCATTAATCACACACTAATATTTGTTAAATTTTTCCAACATTTTTAATGCCATATTCCTTACAATTTCACATGAACATCTAAGCCATTGAGATAATACTATTCTGATTTCACAAACTTTGGGAAAATATAAATTTGTCATGTGATACTTAGTCCTTGAGAATAATTCAATCACATTATAAAACAACTTTAACCTTCCACAAATTTCCTTTGCTAACTCTCACTCTTCCTCACTTGGTAAATATTTATATTGTGATTTACATTGCCTTAAGCGAGAAAAAACATCATTATAAATCAAAGCAGTATAAAGCATCTCATATGTCGAATTCTATATACATTCAAGAGATAATTTCGTACTACTTTGAATTTATAATTGTCAAGATGTTTCCTCAAATTTTTACTCTCTTTTGGGGTTGTTTTATAATACACAATACTATCACAAATTTTCTCAATGGCCTCTTCAATCACAACTAATCCATCTTGTACAATTAGGTTTAGTTTATGTGCACATGAATCTTCCATCCAACATAAATGAATTCATAGAAAGTTTATCCATAATATCATTAAAAATAGCATCATTCATAGTGTAATTATCAACAGTAAATGTAGACAATTTTCTATCAATATTCCAACCTAAAAAACATTCTACTAACATGCCTACAAGAACCTCTTTTCTGTGTGGATAAGACACATAGGCAGACCTATAACAATAGATAAAAGGAAAAAAAAAACAAAGCATTAATGCTAAATATAAAAAATGGTACAACTTAAGCATACTAAATACTAGTAGTGAATTATTATATTAGAAGGCATACCTTATAATTCGGCTTTGTACAACCTAATCAACATCAATGAAGTGTGTTGTCACAGTCATGAACCCTTTATTCTGATTATTAGTGGTCCACATGTCAGTTGTGATGGCTACCATCTTCTCATTCTTTTCCAACAACTTAATTGTCATTTTCTTTTCTTCCTTAAAAGTTTTCAGAATATCTTTCTTAATTATGTTTCTCGAAACCACTGTAAAAGTAGGTTGAATACTATAGAAATATTTCCTAAATCTAATGTGGTTGACTATAGAGAGAGAATACTCATGTAGAATAATCATATTAACAAGTTATCTCCTTGAGATTTTTGGATTATAGGCGATGTATGTAACTTTAAACTTTCCATCCTTCTTATTTTGACTTGTCCCCCAATTTTATTGCCTAACATTTGGTTGATTATGCCTTTGACACCTTTGGAAATGCTCATGCAAATGTTTGGTTCCATTTTTTGAGTCCCCACCCAGCTTCTTAGCACAATAGTTACAAACCGCCTTGACCTGTCCTTCTATAGTTACTTTTATAAAATGATTTCACATAACAAATATGACCCTCTTCTTAAATAGTGTCTCTAAAGTTGTGGTAATTGAACCTCTTTTGCCACCATCATTTCTAGAGCTTGCGAATGGAGCTATTGTAATTGCATCATTTGAGGTTGAAACAAGAAATGGGATAGCACTTTGGTTAGCTGGTAGAGGGTCCAGATTATCTCATTGTCTAGACATTAAGACTAGTTTTAAAGAAAAATAAATTAGAAATAGTTAAAAAATGTTAGACAAATAAAAAATATAGAAAAAATATTTTAAAAATATTGATAAATAACTAAGTTTACTTAATGTTCTATATTCCCAAACAGCTTAGAAGTATCACTCATTATGATTGAACTTGGTGCCATCAGCTATTTGTTGTTAGCCTTTGGTTCTGTGAAATGAAACTCACATATAAGTTGATGGGGAAAAAAAATCTATTAGGCTTAGGGTTCGATAATAAGCTTGAGGCAAGACCCAAATAAAATACTTTGACACTTGGATGCTCATGACCCAATTTAAGACACGACTCATAACTTTGAGTTCTTTATTTGTAATGATTGTACACTCCCTACATTAATTGAAAATACAAAATAACGTTCAAAAATCAATATTTTATATAGTAATGCATTTAAACTAAGGGGTGCATTTTAAGATTCATTTGAATGTTCTATAATCACTAGACTGCAATATTATTTTTTTCTCTATGACTTCTTGCAATCATTTATAATTATCATATGATATAAACTTATTATTAAATATCAATGCTTTCAATATATAGCTTGAATGTTGGCAGCCCACTATTCATTTTGTTTGAACAATTAAATTCTAAATCAACAGTCCATCATTGACCAATCTGCAGTCCACTTAATGCAAAATTGCTCTAAAAAATGAATTATAAGAATCAAGAATTCAATATACAAAGAACAATAGAACACACTCTACACATTTAGAAAAGAGTCTAATTGATCAATAAGTATTTCTACTCAAGGAAAATTTTCTAAGCATCTTACTCAAGGAAAATTTGTTTGCATTATGGTGTAAAAAAAATCATTTTGACCCTTTAGACGATTTTGGTTTCTTTGAATATTGACCAGTACAATAAAATAATTTCCCATCCACTAAGTACAGAAAAAAAAACAACTAAGACACTTTGAATAACGCCTAAATGAAATAATCTCATTCTGGCCTTGGGTTAACATAGAGTGCTCAAATTTACTACTTAAAATAGAGGCATTTCCATTAGATAAGATAGAAATGAGGTCATTTCAGAATCGTGAATCTCCAAAATGTAATGTTTCTTTATATATAAGGCCACTTCTCTCCTACAAAATTAACATTGAAAAAGAAATGAACTCATTATAGTTCCTTTAGTCACAATTGCTAATTCTACCA